TAGGAGTAAAATGGATGGTGCATTCACAATTAAAATTATTATAAATGATTTGAATATTCTAATAATGATGAATATTTTTTGTCAATTTAATATATAATATTTTAATTTAAAACATTTTATAATTATGAATAAGAACATTTGAACTTAGTATTTCAACTATTTTGTATTTTAAATCTAATTTTTATATTTAAAGTCAATATTTGTAAATTAAAAAGTAAAAAAAGTAATATTACTGATTTATTAAAAATTAATTTCGTTTATGGTGTTTCTGTCAGTTTTGACTCATTCTACATGGATTTGATTTTAAACTCCGTTGAATCAGCTCAAAATTCATGGACGATTGAACCAGTCAAACTTCCCCATCTGGTTCGATTTTTAACGCCATGGCTATCAGAATATATAAAAAATAAAAAATAAAAATGGCTAACTGAAAATATTACATTAGGATTCCACACGTAGAGTTACATGCAGAGTACAATAAAATCACGTGACGTGATGGTGACAAGAAAAAAAATTCTGCCCAATAACATAAGAGAATATTTCTCCAGTGTTATTCAGGTGTTATTGTGTGTTATTTAAGTGTTATGATGTGTTATTGTGTTATTATAACACCGAAAATATTTCTAGAACACAATAATACATAAATAATACACAACAACAGCGAGCAATACCGAATAAAATGGGATAACATGGGAGAATAATCTCTTTTCCTGTCACCACGTAACTCTGCATGCCAAGTGAAGTTCTGATCCAATATTTTTTCGATCAGATACAGGGTAAATGAACAAAAAAAAATGATTTTGAAATTTCACAAGCACATTAAAATCAAACACTAACAAAAGAAACCCATGCTCACCACACTCCGAAATCTCTCTCTCTCTCTCCTCATCTGTAGAAAGTGCGAAATCTCAAGAGAGAAATAGGGCCATTAGAGATTCTAAGAGTTCAGCGGTAGCTTCTCAATCTTCCCCTTTCATGGCTATTTCCAATTACAGACTTTGCGGCGCTGAAAGTGTATCTTTGTTTTTTTTTCCAATGTTTAATGGTTTGGTGAAATTTTAGGGAACGCCAATGAGAGAAAAGTTCGGCCATGTTTTCTGTTAATAGCTTTTAATATGACTGCTGATTATTAGGTTATCATTTTGCATTGCTTTGGCTTCTGGATTTGGATTTATGTAATTCAGGCTTCTAGTTTTATTACAAATAAGAGCCAGAACTTTTGTTTTGTTTTCAAGTCTGAGCTATCATGAAACAAAATGATCAGAGATTCATGAACTTCTTTTTTCAGAGCCTAGCCCTTAGAAAAACAAAAAATTAAATTAAATTTTTTTAAGAGAATGTGTTATTTTTGCTCAAAATCATGTATCTCTGATTTTTGTAATTTATTTTCATTGATATAGGGGGGAAATGGACTAGGAATTCTTGTTCTTCTTTTCACAAGGCAGAAGGATTGAATAGTTGAAAGGAGGAAGAAAACAATCAGATTATCAATGCCAGTTCCTCTTGCACCTTATCCATCACCTCCTGCCCCTTTCACACCACCGAGCGGTAAATTCTTCATTTCATTTATCATGTTTGAGTTAGAATGCTTATGAATCTTGCAATTTTGTCAAAATTTATGTTTTTTCTTCTTAATGATTTTCTAACTTGACATTGGCGATCTTATTTTGCTTGAATATTAGGAAATCATCCTCTTTTTTACTATATTTTTGTTATCCTTCAAAATCATTTGGTCTAAGAAACATTTGCATCATCTAATTTCGAAACCCCTTATTTTGAGGATGACAATTTAGTTACCTTTATTATTTCTTTTTGTGGGTAACTGAGACAGAACTTGAGCAATGCTTTATTTATTTTTTCATTAAGGGGAATAAAAATTGAACCTTTGCAACTACTTTTAAAGTAAATTTTTATGAAGCACCTTTTTTTTTCTTGTATTGTTTTGAACGTGTAGCATTTTCTTTGGAGTGCAGGAAAATACCACATATATAGGTGCCAATTGTTTAATTAGGCTTTGGATATTCTGAGCTAATGAATATAATTCATAGACCTATTTTTTTCTTTCTTACATAATCATGGATTAGGATTCAGCTTTTTTTATTCCAATCTTTCACATTTATGATCGAAGTCCAAAAGTGTTGAACTTGATTGTTGTTGGAGCCATAATTTGAACTTCTCTTTTAAATTTCAAAACCATCTGGTTTTTTGAAATTAATAAACTCCGGCTATTTTACCCTCGTTTCGTTTCTTATAAAATCTGGTCGATCCTATTTTCCCAATTGTTCCTTCTTAAGAAACTCATAAAAACTTTATGTTGCAACTTTCACTTTTATAATTCAAAACTATATGAAGTTTTTTTGGCTTCAGTTGTTTTAATTTATATATTTATTAGCCTAGTAAGTGCTGTATTTTGATTTTTATCTTATCAATATTGTTATCTTTTTTGAGACAATGCAACTCGTATCTAAGCAAGTTAAGACGTTCAGTCTTCCATTCAAGGTTTTTTTTTTTTTTGCCTTTTTCTAATTTTGTTTTATATATTTGTTAAGTCAATACCTACTCTCTTTTGTTTTTTAAGATAATATTTAAAATTTTTAGACAATAATAGGCTATCTTTGTCATAACATGCAATAATGAACTGTAGGGCATAGACTATGATTTATTTATAGTATTTATGGAAGCAACTGTTCATATCAGGTGGTCAGAGCCAACTTGTATGCTCAGGCTGTCGCAATCTTCTACTCTATCCATTAGGAGCTACATCAGTTTGCTGTGCTGTATGCAATGCTGTGACAAATGTTCCTCCCCCTGGTACAATTCATCCTCTAACATTTATTTTTTTATCTTTGAATTCCAATCCTATATTTGTTATAGAAAATCGATCTCGGTTAACTTTTTCTTAGGCTTGTTTCATACATACAATGTTAACTTTTTTTTTATTTGGGGTTATATATCCCAACATTAATGCTATAATTGATAGATCTCTAATCTGTTCTAAGCATTTTTTTTTTGGGTACAGCCTTTGACAAATGATTAAACCATGACATTTGATCATGAACACATAATGGAAAGACTCTGATTTTAGAGCAATACAAGATTTTGGGACTAATTTTGATTGTGCAAATTAATCTTGTAGTTTTTATATAGATAACTTCAATTTTTAGTTAGATTTCTTTCTAGTTAGATGATTTAATTTGCATTTCTGATATAAAGATGTTCCGGCATTCGAGACGAAATTTTTTTCCATAAGATTTCTATTTAAATTTCAGCTGTAGCATTTTTTTATTTTAAAAGAATGCTTTGGGAGGAAAATACTAGAATTTTAAAAATTGAGAACCTAATAAAAGAAGGTGCAGAAAACATTTCAAAACATGGAATCTTAAAATAGTTTTGTTGCGTTCCCGGCATAATGTTTGTTGTAATTATGTGCTTCAACTATAATACTTTGGCTATGAAGCAGGAACTGAAATGGCTCAGCTAGTTTGTGGAGGCTGCCATACTCTTCTGATGTATATACGTGGAGCAACTAGTGTGCAATGCTCCTGCTGCCACACAATTAACCTGGCACTTGAAGGTAAAAAGATTAATTTTTTCTCTCTTTTTTAGAAGACTACTCTCTTCTTTTCAGTTATTGCTAAATTGAAAAAGCACGAAAATTTATTTTATTCTGAGTAAACTAAAGCAAGTAGCATGAGTGGATGATATTGTTATATGTAGCGATAATAAAGATGATACAGGGGGTGCGTTAGAACATAAGTTAACAATAAAAAAAATAGTGGCTCAATATTATTGACGCTAAATCTAACTTAGAATGCATAAAACTTCTCATTGAGCTTGAATAATTTTCATTATGTAGCGGGAGTTATCTTTCTAGTGTGCACGCCACAGCTTAGGAAAATTTTAAATAGTTATATTGTATGAATTAAGAAATAAGATCTTAATAAGTAGAAAGAGCTATCCTGTGTTTAAAAAAAAAAATACCTTATGAATAGCTTGGAATATCAAGAGGGGTGAATTAGCTATTAAAAATTCTACAGAGCAGTAAAACTAAGTGTAGCATGAAATTGCAATAACAAGTGAGCATGTTAAAGGAGATAACATAGAAATTTTTATATAATTTGGCTCGAACCAACCTACATCCATATTTAATCCCCACCAATTTTAAGATTTAGCTGCCTCACTAGTTACCATTTGCCACACTCTATGGCTCCTCATGCCATTGGAAAAGTTGTCACACAAACATACTTTGACAGAAGTGTGCAACTCAAAAAAAAAATTACAATAAGTCAAGCTCACGAAGTTATTAAGGAATGATCAAGGTACACAATAAATAGCTGCAAAATCGGTAGTTTTAGATTTATGAAATATAGCAATAAAAGGAAAATGAAAAGGGATCTTACGTACTTTTGATCATAGAAGACCACCCAATCATTCTTGCAATGATATGAAAAGGTTGCTCTCACGCTGTAGAGAATGAACTTCAGCTCTTGTAAAGAACGAGAATTTATTTGGCAAGAAAAGGAAGACCACCCAATCATTCTTGCAATGATATGAAAATGTTGCTCTCACGCTGTAGAGCATGAACTTCAGCTCTTGTAAAGAACAAGAATTTATTTGGCAAGAAAAGAATTTTGGAAATATTTAGAAATTTTGATTTTTGAGTGATTTTCAATAGATTTGCTATCTGAAGTTCAAGCCTTTTTATCAAGCTCAAGACATTCCTACTATTCCCCTTAAAAAGAATGTCGAAATTTATACTTTTTTGGTTTCTAATGTGATGAAGAGGTTTAACATACAGTTTGTTTTCTATTAGGGCTTGTTGAACTCGCTAGGAGCCTGGTGTTGTAATACTGGAGCAACTTTGATGCCTTTTTTCCCGTGCGTGTTTGAATGATGTATGGATGGTAGTTTCGTAATTAATTGAATATACTTTTCCAAATATCTTAATAAATATAAATACAACTCAGGACATGTTATGGGTGATGTTGAATGTAAAGATTGTGATGTATGTAATTGTTGAGAATTGGACCTTATTTTGGGTCTTATTGATAAAAAGAAATATTGAAGAAGCCTAGGGGTTTATTTTGTAAAATATTGTAATGCATGTTATGAAAATTGCTTCTTTTTGGTTTTAGAGCTAAACCTAGCCATCTGTGAGGTTCAGGTTCGGCTTATAGAGACCCAAAGCTCCCATCTGTCAGGGGATTATGACAAACTGAGACTCGTAACACTGAAGATCATGACGTGAATATCACAACGTGCAAGATAACTGCTCAATTCGACATATTGGATCGAAATACAGATACCTAGAACTCCCATTTTTCTCTTCCTTACGCTTCGTCCTCGCAAAGCAGTCACGACTAGAGCTAACTGGGAAGGCAATGACGGGATTGTGTTGTGCTAACTTTGAAGGCAACAATGGGATTGGAGATTGACCCGAAGGATACAATTACAATTAAAATTAACTCGGAAGGAAACAATGGGATTGCCGTGTACAGACACGAATGATCAAATTCACATAATTCACATATGATCTATGTGATCTAGTCTTGTCATTGAAGATGTCAGGAGACGGAGGTAGTGCAGGAGGTAAAGGATTGAAGCTTCTGGAGAAACTAGATCCTAAAGTATTGAAGGTTTTGGTCAGGCGGGGAGTTAAGTTATTGATGGGAGTCACTACCTCGACACATGCTCCACACAGTTGAAGCTAGATCTTTCTCCTATAAATCTAAAGCTTGATAGACCGGCTAGGTATCTAAGTTGGTCACTTCGGGTCGAGACTGTTATAGTAGGGAAGAGAATAGATGAATATCTAACCGAGGACAAACCAAAGAGTGAAAGTGCTGAGAGGGATAAGTGGAGGACCACCACGCCTAAATCTACACCCGGCTACTCAGCTTGATGATTCCATCAATTGCATCCTCGGTTGATGGCATTCGAAATGTGAGGGAAATTTGGACAAAGTTGAAGAGGATTTGAGCTGGAATGGAGAACCACTTGAGAGTGTTCCTAATTTGGCGTCAGATAAAAGTAGTGGTAAAGGGTGATTGATCGATTTAGAACGAAGTCATTTATCTGGAACAGCTGTGGGCAGATCTTGATCAGTCCTCACCCATGTTGACTTGTGGCGATCTGGAGTGCAAGAAAAAAGGATCTTCACACAAATAAGGACTATGCAGTTTCTAGCACATTTGAACTCGACTTTTGATCAGATGAGATCAGTCCTCCTAGCTCAGGCGACAATCCTTTCATTGTATGAGGTCATTGCTGCGATGATATAAGAGGAGAATCTCGTGAAGCTATACACTAAGCTGAGTGAACTTCTTGGTGCGCGATGAACTTCGCATGCCTCGAGCTCAGGTATGATTGGTGTCTATGGGGAGACTCACAAGTGCTACAATTGTAGCAAAATTGGGCATCTAAGCAAGTCTTGTCTTAGGTTATCTAGGAAGACAGAGACAGGTGAACATGGACAAGGTGGAGACTGTGATCATGGTTTTGGTGGTCGAAAACGTGGAAAAGAGGGTTACCAAGCAAATTTGATGGCAACACAGGAGGAGAGAGACATGTGTGATTTTTGTCAGCGAGGATCTTGAGTGTCTGTAGTTGTTGAATAAAAAACAGAAAGTAGCAAGAGACATGACTTAAGATGCTTCCAACCAGTCATCATCAAGGGAAAACATTGCCACTTATGCTCACTCTGACAAAGGTACTTGTGATACATATGCTCTTACCTCTATTTCCACCACAAAATCATCAAAATGGATAGTAGATTTTGGTGTATCTTGACATGCGACAGGTACTGCTAGAAAGATTTCTTTCTATACTCCCCTGATAGTACCAGAGAGCATTCAGATTGCTGATGCTACAAGATAACCTGCAGTTGATAAGAGTATAGTGAGAGATATCATCTATTTGATTTTATCTAATGTTTTGCATGGTTCTCCTTTTATAGTAAAACTTTCATCTATTAGTTTCTTTATTCTCCAATTAAAATACATTTTTTCTTTTGATATTCTTAAGGTAATCTTCCGATAGAAAGGGACAGGCTAGACAATTAGGATTGGAGCAACGCATAGTGGAATTTGGTACTTGGATTGGGAGGAGATGGACTCAACTTCGACATCCATAGTAGACAGTTCTATAGTAGGAGAATATGAGAAGAGTGTGGAGGATGTGTTGCTGTTACATCATAGATGCGTGTGACATTTTTTGTTTTAGTTTATTGAATCAGTTGTATCCTTCTTTGTATAAAAAAACAAATGAAAAAAAATTTATTTGTTATTCTTATGCGTTTGACAAGCTTATTAGGAGCTCTTATATTGGTTTTGAAAATAGGAGTTTTGTTATTTTTAACTTGATGCATTCTGATGTTTAGGGACCTTATTCTACAAGTTGTATGAATGGTTTTTTATATTTTATGACCTCTATTGATTGTCATTCGTGTGTTAATTGGTTATATTTGATAAAAAATATGGGTAATGTGTTTGATTGCTTTAAAGAATTCCATAAGACAATCCAGACTCAATATGGTGCAGTTGTTAAGGTATTGAGGTCTAGTAATGAGATTGAGTATACCAACAAAGAATTTGGAAAATACTTCTCAGCCCAAGGGTAAAACATCAAACCATATATTCATACACTTCAGCACAAAATAGAGTAGCAAAAAGAAGAATTGACACCTTCTGAAGGTAGCCTGAAGCATAATGATTATAAAAAATGTCCCAAAGCATTTAGGAACAAGCAGTTTTGATAGCAGCTCCATTGATCAACGGTATGCTCTCGAGAGTGTTAGTATGGAAGTCTCCTCATCAGATGTTGAAAGGAGATAAGAGTATGATCCTCTCATTAATGTTGTTTGGCTGTGTATGCTTTGTGAAGGATAATAGGTCATCAGTAGGGAAGTTGGATTCCAAAGATGTAAAATGTGAGTTCATAAGTTATTCTGCTACCGAGAAGAGGTATGTCTGATGGAATCAGGTAGAGAAGAGATAGTTTGTGAGTATGGATATTTCATTTAGATAATTTGATTGTATCTCACCCAAGAGATGCCCCCATCCTTCAGTGACTCACAGATACTGGAACAACAATGGTGAGAGAGTGGTACAATTTGGAGCAATGCCCTGTGTTGTGATATAGGATGAATCATTTGAGGAATCAAAAAATGAGGAGAGTGAATCTAGAGGTGGTGGTCTTTAAGTTGAAGGTGAGCTAAGGGTGTATGCACGGACAATGAAGAAAAATGATGGAACGGTGCCTGCGGTGTCACTTGTGCCAGCTAGTCACTTGTCTTAGTTTTCCCCTACTCTTGAGACACCATCAATCTCCAACTCAGAACTCCTAAGTGATATGTTTTCTTCTTCTTCTTCTCTTAACCCCACAACTTCATGGAGTACCTCTTGCAGCAATGCGGGACATACTCTCGATCGTTTTAGGTCAAAACATGATATTGCTAACATTATTTCGTATTCTGAAATAACACATTTACATGGAGCATTCATTGTATGTTTTAGCACCATCTCTATACCCAAGTTTTGTCAGGTTAGATCTCAAATGGAAAGCAGTTAATCATGA